TAAAATAAGCCGGTTTGTCGTTGCAGGTCCCGACCTACAACCCATCATTGCGTTGCGAGTTTGCGACTATTATCGTTGGATACTGGAATCCTCCTAATCCTTGAAAGATATTGGGGAAGCCTCTAACTATTGTGGGGATATTTGTGACCGAAAATAGATGCGCTAGCCTTGAGTGGACAGATCAATACGCCGAAAATGGTTAAATAAAATATAAACTCGTTTGAAGTGTTGCTAGTGTTTGACTATTGTTGATTTTATTTGGATTGTCACTTAGACACTCAAATGAGCTAAAAGAAACAAGAGAACTAAAATAATAATAACTAATAATAAAATGAATGTCTGCCAAAACACGCGCGATTGTCAATGGAAACGTAAACTACAACGGCCCAATAACGATGTCTTTGAAGGTACCATGAAATTCTCCATGCATATCTACGTGTCTAGATTTCTGAAAACATCCTCTGCGATTTTCAAAAATTGAGGTATTTTTCGACCACCCTACAGATTAATACTAATCACGTTTATCCATTACCGGATTTACTAGGGCCGCAAGCACAAGTGTGCACTCCGGGGCCGGAGGCAATGAAAAAGAAATATTAACGCTTGCTAGGGTAGGCTACAGAGTGGAGGTGGATCGTGGAAAGTTCTACGAATGTGATGTCATATCCAGCACTTACTAATTTCTAATATAATAATGTTAGCAATATTAATAAATTTAACAAGTAATAATGCTGTTTGGCCTCGTGTTTGGATAACTGTTTGAATTATATATTTATTTATTTTTGCCTTTATTTTTAAGTGGGCGGGGTTTCAGCCGAGGCTGCTCTACCAACCCAACCCACTATACATTTACAAATATCCATGCCCGAACCCGGATTCGAACCATATAAATATCGAAATTGTTGTTAGAGTTGTTTTGTAAAACAAGATTATTTATATTTAATTAGTGAATTCAACATTTCAACGTATTTATGTATTAAAATAAAACATTAGTACTTAGCCTTTGTGCTCAGCTATGTTATTCTTTGTACGTAAGTAACGTTGATTTTAAAAAGAAAAATTGGCTTGCTCAATGCTCAGTTCGACGATAACTCCTAGGAAGTTACACTTAGGGGGCGGGGACTGCTCGGATTAACTTCGCCTAGGACCGCAAATACCCTATATCCGGCACTCGGCGGTTTATCACCATATTCGAAACGCAATTCGGCGATTTTATCTTCCTTATATCTGTTTTTACATTTTATTGTATTGCGTGCCTTGTCGCCATTACAAGAAATTTTCCACTGGGCCACCATCGACGGATAATAGAAACGTTTCCGAACATCCCTGTCGAGTCGAATAATTATACCTCACACTTTCCAATCTGATCCAGTTCTAATGGTCTCCGTTTCATCCGATTTGTCGTAGTAGGTAAATGTAGTAGCTCCTCTCTTCGAAAACGGGTCGATTAATTATAAGCTATTTGTTTCACACGCAAGAATGTTATTAGTAAACATGAAGGTGAAATTTACGGTGTATACCAGCGCAAGGTCTTTGTTTAATAATCGTAGGTTTAATTTGAATTTTTTTTTCAATGAAAAAAACTAGACATTTGAGACCATGTACTGACTGCACACGATTTTCCCTACAGGTCGAAAAAACTCCGCCTTCGTGTAGCCATGCCATCGCTTCGCAAAATTTTGAAAGGGTAAAAAATTATATGTTTGTTTTATTTATTTTTTGTCGTTATATCCTATAACATAAAAGTTATAGCCAATGAATTTGTCAAGATAAAAATAGTATATTAAGATACAAGTGTATAATCAAGTCTTTAAAGCACTCGTAACGAGTTTAATGGCACGACGCGAAGCGGAGTGCCTTTAACGTTGAAAGAGCTTTAGAGACCAAAATTATACACCATGTACCTATCTTATAGTATTTTTTATTATACCTGCAGTATAATTTAAAAATAGGCAATACAACGAATTCATATTGACGTAATACTCGAATACATGAATTAAGTGGGCTGGGTGTTCGTAATTTCACTATTGCCATGGAAATGTCACTTGACGTTTACTTCTAAAAATCATCATCTTTGTGAATAAAACGGTTTCCGATGAAAAAGATAATACACCGTCCATTAAATCCTCGATTAAATCGCTTGTTGTAAAATCTAAACAAACGTTGGTAGGTAGGTGTAAAATCCAAATCCAGTAAAGCCTATTATAAAGAATATGAAAAGTTGTTTCCATGGGGCATGGATGAATAGGAATTAGTTACTTACGAATAATAGTAGATTATATCACGAGTCAATAATGATAGCTATTATTCTCGAGGAATATTTACGAACTGAGAAGTAAAATTCCGAGAGTATACGGTTGATTGGCGTAAAAACTTTTTTCTACAAAAAAACCTTAATACATTTTTGTTATAAAATAATTTGGGGAGCCAATAATCGCATGTTATGAATTTTACATTGAAATCCCTATGATGCGTTACGCAAGTCACCACCCTATATACATATAGCGGAATGTAGATACTCATCTACACTCTAAAACGCCCACTTTAGCTATTCCATACTACTCCGGCATTTACCTTACGAATTAGGAAAACTGCAGGAAAACCTAATTCGGAGTAGCCGGTAGAATGCTCGGAACTGGTCTAAATTCACCTCAACCCAGGTTCGAACACCCGACCTCCGGATTTATATCCCAACGCTCTACCACTGAGCCATAAAGCCGGTTAAATTGATGGTACAACTAGGCATTAAGTGATTCAATTTTGGTCAATACTCGTCAACCGGGAGTGACTTTGTCGCTCGTTGCCCATATTGGTGCAGTTTATTCCCTATTCTTATAGTAGGAGAGCTGGTGGACATTTTTGGGTAAGTATTTGAGGCACGCTGAGAACCACTTCTCCAATAATACCCAAACACAGAAATGCAGACCTGGCTGAGCAGAAGCGGGACTAACACCTTGCCAGGCTCCTTCAAAGTTTGAAAAAAGAATGTATGCCCAGTCGAGTATCTGAATGCGTCAGAAGTAGTGGATGATCTACACATTATATTAGTGTCGTCTGAATTAGTTGTAATTGTATCATGTTGAAATTTTCATCGTTTCTTATGCCGAAATAAAGACAATTCTCCTGAAACTTTCGTCAAAAGTGATCAAAGTACACTAGGTGTTCATGTATTTATTGCGGCCAGTATACACTTCAAATCAAGAGTCCCTTGACCCTGCGTCATTGATTTGTTAATCAATTTCAGACAAGATTTTTTATCGATTTCGCATACTTGATAGTTGTTGCAGCGCTTTAGCGTATATGTCTGCATATGTCTGATAAATTGATTCACAAATCAATGACATTATTTTTTTCAAACTTTGAAGGCCCCTGGCAAAGTGTTAGCCCCGCTACTCCTCAGCAAGGTCTGCATTTCTGTGCTTGGGGATTATTGGAGAAGTGTTGGACAAGTTTTCAGCGTGCCTCAAGTACCTACCCAAAAATGTCTACCAGCTTTCGGACTATTATAGATATTCTCCCAACATAATCTCCTTATGCTCTCTCTCATCTAGCACATTATGTATGTTCTTTTCTGGCTTTTTGCTCCAGTTCCGTGCTTCACTCCGATATGCTCCCTTCCCATCATGGTGCATATGAATATTGTCCTAAGGGATGTTGTGGAAACTCATTATTGGGCAGAGAAGTAATAACTTTGTTGAAACAATATACAGGACAATTCCCCATACCATTTACTTGAATTGGTCTTAGATCACAATTTTGCAGCGTAGGACGAAGAGCGAGTGGGTGGAATTCTTTTACGTTCAAGGTGAAATCGGCTAGTTTTATCCTTCATGGTACTCTAATGAAAGGTCTCAACGAAAGGAATTAATTTCTACCAACCATAGCCCTCCTCCTCGACCTCTTATCGTGATCGGGTATATTCCCTTATACCTCAAGAACGGATTGTCGGAAGAGGGTACTCACAAAGGGCGATTGAGACGTCTGCAAGAAATATATCCATTGGTGATGTCAAAACAAAAGCTATTTCGGTAAAAAAATGCGCTTTATCTGTTGTGCCCAATTTATACTTGTTTAAAATTTAAAGATTGGTATTTCAAAATTTAAGATTTATATATTATGTACGACGAAATAATTTAACAAAATGTGCTATTATTATATTATACACGGTGAATTTTTTTACCGATGTTTGTAGTATGAGGATCTCGTAAACTATAAGAGATTCAAAGTCGCCTAAATGGCCAAAGAATTGCAGAATTTTATGTAGAAAACCCCATCAGAAGTGAATTTTACTTACGCATTTACAATTGCCATGTGCAGCATATTTTCAACGATAAAAGCAACAATTTGGCGTAGTATTTTTAGCGCATTTTTTAAGAATTAAAAAAAATGTGCTATTGTTTGCGTTTTGTCCGTCCGTCCGTCCGGACCAACTTCTGCCGTTTCGAACTATAGTTTAAAATGTACTCTTATCTGTTTTGAAAGACATTTTAAAATGTAACTAGATTCAATATAGTTAACTTAAAGGTTAAACTCTGTGTCCGTTTGTATAATAATTCATAGTTCATCGTGGGTATAGGGGTTAGGACGGGAAAATCATTTTGCATTTTCAATGGCAAACTGTAGGTAATTAAGTAGGTACATAGGTACCAGTAAGTATTTTAAATTATGTAAGAAACCCGCTTATGTGTTATATTATGCCCTTATTGACAGTTCCTGCACGAAAACGTAAATGTTTGTTTCAGCCTAAGACACAATTTTAGCATGTATATATTATGATTTAGAATAGCTTGACTAAAAGACTAAAATTTATTACACTGGAGTTTAGTGATTTAATTTACGCACACTGTGTGTGACAAAAGCGTCGAAAAAGAATAGGTAGAAGTCGAAGATCTTATGAATATTATAGATATCAAATTGTAATGTTTTTCAAGGAAATCTCATCCAAACATCGAATAAAACTTTAATTAGTAAAAGTGCGTGCAAAAAAGGTGTTAGCCTACCTTTACTTCTTAAAGATGCTGAGCTATTTGTCGAACTATCATCTGTAGGGCTTGGAGGATTTGAATTGGGTTCTTGCTTAACACTGAAAATAAAGCAAGCAGGTAATTAAATATGAAGAAGAATGGAAAGAGGTAACGAGATTTAATTAAAAAAAATGAAAGGCATCCCGCTTGACCTACATCATAAAGTGCAATCGAAACGCCGTCACTTTTGCGAATATTATCGGTCGAAGTGGAATTCAATTAGAAAAGCGTAACGGACGTTTAAAAAGGGGAAACGGTAAAAAAAATAGGTCAGTGTGTTGGGATGATGAATTTGTAGGCAGAATGGTGTGTATAATCGTGTTCAACAACAAGGGGGTAATAAGGTGAATAATTGCACCGCTATGGTTACACTGACAACGCTTATACAAATCGATCGGTGGTTAATTTTTTACCTGGTAAACGTCGAGTCCGCGAGACCTGGTGGACTCGGTGTAGAGCTGGATGGCTCCATTTTTCATAGAAGAGTTGCAAAATATGCAGCCCTGCATTCTCATATAGATTCCATCACTCACCCCTACATAAGTTACGCGATCGCGCGCTACTGCAGAGTTTTGTAGCTCGTCGAGAATTTTAGGGGTTCTTCGCTATTCAATATTGTGCCTACCGATGGGTTATTTCTGCGCATGTTGGAGTTTTGTTCCTGTTTTGTTCCCAGTCCAGTTTTTGCTCTTTATTTTCAGCGAATCGTGATCCCTGTCGGTTTGTTTTCCGGTTTAGATTCAATAATTATTTTATTATTATATCTACCTACCCTCTTCTCTCCTTAAACTTGTTTTTCTACACGTTTCGCCTTAGTTCTCGCATTCTTAAAGCGACGGCCGATCAAGCTTGCAAGTCATAATAGCACTCTTAGTGAGTCAATGACACGCATTTCTCTCCATTGTTGAGGTATACCGGAAAATGCGCTCACTTTCACTCCGTCCTTTGAAAATGACATTTACTTTATTCGTGCAAAAAATTCAAATTTATTTCCTATCAGCTTTAACGACAGCCATGCGGCCTTGGAGACCTAAACAGCTTTTTTTTAATTGCTTGTTCGAGTGCGAATGTTCTTAATTCCTTGTGGGCATATTTGTTCAAAAATGAAAAGCGTTATTACGTACCTAGGTATCTCCGAAATGTTCTGCAAACTACGACAAGAACTATTTTATTGTTTTCCAAAATATTCACCTTTTAGCTTAGGCACAGATATACGTGTATCTGTGGCTTAGGTAGCTACCTATAACAAATTTATCCATTTGATAGAACTCCGATGTGAGATTTTGAAACAAATACAAGACATGCCCTTCTTATGTTTCAAAATTGGGAAATAAAAAATTATCAAAGTCCTCGTTTGAGATCGAAGGGACTTCAGCGCATTTTTGTGTGGCAGATCAGTATTCTATTAGCCACTTTCGACTCAACCATCAATAACAGATCTTGTCGAAGGCTACTACATTCACTAACCGCTTCCCACTTTCCTCGTGCACCCGCAATTCGCTTTTAAAGATTTGACTCCACCATCAGTAAGATCGTGTCGGGGGCTACCACATTCCCTTTGACGGTACCCCCTTCCGACGTCCCGTTTACCCGCAATTCGTGTTTGAAGATTTGACTCCACCATCCAGGAAGATCGTGTCGGGGGCTACCACATTCCCTTTGACGGTACCCACTTCCGACGTTCGGTTCACCCGCAATTCGCGTTTGAAGATTTGACTCCACCATCAGGAAGATCGTGTCGGGGGCTACCACATTTCCTTTGACGGTACCCCCTTCCGACGTCCCGTTCACCCGCAATTCGCGATTGAAGATTTGACTCCACCATCAGTGAGATCGTGTCGCGGGCTACCACATTCCCTTTTACGGTACCCACTTCCGACGTCCCGTTCACCCGCAATTCGCGTTTGAAGATTTGAACTCCACCATCAGGAAGATCGTGTCGGGGGCTACCACATTCCCTTTGACGGTACCTCCTTCCGACGTCCCGTTCACCCGCAATTCGCGTTTGAAGATTTGACTCCACCATCAGGAAGATCGTGTCGGGGGCTACCACATTTCCTTTGACGGTACCCCCTTCCGACGTCCCGTTCACCCGCAATTCGCGTTTGAAGATTTGACTCCACCATCAGGAAGATCGTGTCGGGGGCTACCACATTTCCTTTGACGGTACCCCCTTTCCGACGTCCCGTTCACCCGCAATTCGCGTTGAAGATTTGACTCCACCATCAGTGAGATCGTGTCGCGGGCTACCACATTCCCTTTTACGGTACCCACTTCCGACGTCCCGTTCACCCGCAATTCGCGTTTGAAGGATTTGACTCCACCATCAGGAAGATCGTGTCGGGGGCTACCACATTCCCTTTGACGGTACCTCCTTCCGACGTCCCGTTCACCCGCAATTCGCGTTTGAAGATTTGACTCCACCATCAGGAAAATCGTGTCGGGGGCTACCACATTTCCTTTGACGGTACCCCCTTCCGACGTCCCGTTCACCCGCAATTCGCGTTTGAAGATTTGACTCCACCATCAGGAAGATCGTGTCGGGGGCTACCACATTTCCTTTGACGGTACCCCCTTCCGACGTCCCGTTCACCCGCAATTCGCGATTGAAGATTTGACTCCACCATCAGGAGATCGTGTCGCGGGCTACCACATTCCCTTTGACGGTACCCCCTTCCGACGTCCCGTTCACCCGCAATTCGCGTTTGAAGATTTGACTCCACCATCAGGAAGATCGTGTCGGGGGCTACCACATTTCCTTTGACGGTACCCCCTTCCGACGTCCCGTTCACCCGCAATTCGCGATTGAAGATTTGACTCCACCATCAGTGAGATCGTGTCGCGGGCTACCACATTCCCTTTTACGGTACCCACTTCCGACGTCCCGTTCACCCGCAATTCGCGTTTGAAGATTTGACTCCACCATCAGGAAGATCGTGTCGGGGGCTACCACATTCCCGTTGACGGTACCCCCTTCCGACGTCCCGTTCACTCGCAATTCGCGTTTGAAGATTTGACTCCACCATCAGTGAGATCGTGTCGCGGGCTACCACATTCTCTTTTACGGTACCCACTTCCGACGTCCCGTTCACTCGCAATTCACTTCTATTGGCGACACGAGAAAGAGAGACAGCGATTCGAGATTCACGAAACGTTAAACCGCGTGAGTTCGCAACGGAAGGTAAAAGGAGCCTGACTACTTCTCGAAGACGCGCGCGCCGCCTCGCAAAAGGTCGTTAATTTCGCCCCTATGACAAAAAACAAAATTCCGCCACGCAGGAGTTGTGCGCGTTTACAACATCTTTCCGACGACACCAATTTCAAAAGAATCGGACCAAAACTGTAGTAGAAGATAGGAAAAAACTGAAAAACCTTCACGTTAGTATACTACGCTCGAGGATGACGCCCAGATGTCGCCAACCCCACATCATGTAGCCATGTCCCTAAGGTTGACAAATTTCACGGCCCTGTAGATACACGTACACCCGTTGCCTTTCTACAAGAGTTCTTCTACGCGCCCACATTTGCTGCCAGCCAGCCAGCCAGCCAGCCAAAGTGAGATTAAAAGCTACTTTTTACAAAAAAATTTTTTGCAAAAATGCGCTAAAAATCGTTATGGCACGTCGTTAGACTACACATTAAACTCGTACGTTGTTAATGTTGTGTAATTGAAAGGGAAACGAGCATGTGCGTTATGTGTGTGTAGTACGAATCCACGTGGAGATACTACGTGCCTCGTTTATTTATCAATGATTCCGTTGCAAATTCCTGTAGCACATCCAGTTGCAATTTTCGTGCAATAAACTTTTCAAGCCTGCGCTATTGCGACTTGCGGTTCGCTAACTTTATATATCCATAACTTGTTTTGTATTCTCAGCTCAGTTACTTTCGCGTTATTTTGTTGTTTACTTCTGTTCGAATTTAATTTGGCTTTTATGACTTCTCGCTTGCTTATGTCAAAGTAAGTAATTTTCATGTTATTTTCGAGCGCGCTTTACGATTGGCGTATTCTTTATGTGCTACGTGTTGGAATTTCGTGTCGCATACATTGTTTCCATACCAACCTTGATTGTTGATCTAATAATTAACTAACGGCTTGATACGAGAATTCATCCCTATTTTGTTTTCCCTCCCAGATTGCAAGGTAAAGGCAAACAACTACGGCGCCACATTACAGGAAATTCAAGTAAATGCCAGAATGAATGCAATGCCATTGTACTTGCAAAAACTATAGTGAACTTTTGCCCAGAATTTGTATTTAATGATTGGAAGGTTCGGCCTAATTTGATTGTGCCACCACATCCGGAACGAGGCCTCTGCTGATTTTTCAAATAAAGTCGTATTAGCGAATTTACTTGTTGCACTTTGCTTATCGCACTTACTCACTTCCGAGTTCCGACTTGATAACGGCTCATTAAGGAAAGTCTTCCATTCTGAATTATACCGTAAATTTGATCGAGAAAGTACTAGCAACTAGAAAGCGCTCGCTTTCACAAACCCCTGCAATCGTGATTCGGTGGCAAATATCCCGATTCATCACAAAGGAGGGCGTTTTTATTGTTTATCGTATAACTGATCAACATCCAGTTAACGTTTTTAAGTATTACACATTGTGGTAATAACCCCATTCAAGGTTGTAGGAACAACTGTAATCTCATACCGGAAATTTACATAGATATAGTAACTAAATGTTGACTTAATAAAGAGCACTTTTACATTTAAAAACCCCCTTTAATGTTGGCTGTAACTTCGATTTCCTTGCAAAGAAGTTTTTTGTGTGCATTAAGAACTACAAGTGAAACAGATGTCGACGTTTTATTTCGAAACAGGAAATCAAAACAAATAATTTTTTTTCTGCCATTGTACTCGATTGTTATTGTTGCAAAATGTGCAGTTCAGGGGGTTATTAGGTGAAAGTGTGAAATTCCATAGTGGAAAATGGGTTTTCAATCAGCTAAAAACCGCACATCCGGATAACACTTCCAAATTTCCCAATTAGTATAAATTACGGTTTGGGTTGGATTCACTCAACCAAGTGTAAAAAAATCCGATAAATCCAAAAACCATAGCACACCAGGCCGAAAGCTCCTGGAACATAAACAAAAAACGAAAAAAAAATGGGAAAATGTGTTTTTTTTGTGTTTGACTTTGAATATTTCGTTAACACTATGGTTCCGAGAGAAAAAATGACTTTGTTTAGAATCGAATTCTCTTCCACTAAGAACATTTTTGGGATTTTGAAAAAAATTCCACAGTAGGTACGCCGATTTGCAAAAGTCATCGGGACAATCGTGGGAAAAGGGTATTGGTTAGGATTACCTCTGCGAGTCGCCCAGATAAAAAACCAAGCATCGCTTTTTTAATTTGTTTATTTAATTATGCAATAACTATGAAACCTACTGTGATCGGGTGTGTCAAATTCATTCTATTCATTTTTTCCCTCAGAGCAATGTAGTTAACGAGATATTCGGAGTCAAATACGAAAAAAAAAACGGATCCGGACAGTTTGGCGCCGCCTCTTTGACGCCGACATTTTGGCGCCGGGAATTTATACACCTATAAAAACCTAATCGTTGTTGAAATACAACTATGTAATTAGATGAAATTTACCTAACACACAAACAGTTATATTAGACAAATTATTTAGACAAGCGTCAAAATAAGCAGATAGATGAAAATTGTTAATAACTCTATTGTTTAGTTGCAGACAAATAAAAATATATAAACTATTAGGAGCCATTGTGGTAAAAACCTGTATCACGAAAATATTCTTAAAACCTACCCTGTTCGTTGCTATTGTTTTGTTTGGACAGGCGACAGGCCATACTTACTACACATCAACTTCAAAAAATAACTGAAGAGCACTTGTTCAAAGGCTGTTAGTTCCAGTATTATGGCAGTTTCGTACATTTTCACCAGGAGCGTAGAAATAATCTTCATATCCATCTGGGAGACTATAATTTTCGGATTCAGCGGATTTTTGTACGAAGAATACACTTGGTTCATTGACTGAATTGACAACGTCCAATTTAGGTTTCACTGAACGAATAGTCCAGTTTAAGATTACAGCGCTAATTTAACTGCAATAAAAGTATAACTGAACAAAATAATGTGCATTCTCAAAAAGTTGAAGAAAAGTATAGTTTGGTAGCTTTGTATCAAAGCCATTGCTACTGCCCCATAGGCTAGTCGTGGATAGCAGTGTCAGCTGTATGAACTATGTGCAGATTACTTAGTCGTTAGGGGATGCAGCTTACGTTATACAACTTTTTTCGTTTTTTAATGTTGCAAGTTGTCGGAACTGTAATTGTATTAAGGAGCAGAGCTTGATTTGGTTAGTGCGAAGGCACTGCCGTTAAGTATGTTGTGAGCGGGGAGGGCGAAGAGAATAGCGTTCTGTAAGTGTAAAAAAATCAAAAGAAAACATTTTCGTAATACATAATTATACGGGGTGTAACAAGGTGCACAAAACTAACACTGTTTCTACCTCGGTTTCTACATAAAACAGAGAATTGTCTAAATTTTTCCGTAGCAACCGTAGTTCTTTGTAAAAAATGAAAATCTCCGAGGTTTTACTCAATAGTTTTATACAAAAAGCCTGGAAGTCGACGACCACTCTCATTGCAGACATCTTGAGAACCGAAGGTCACATTAGATTCGATTAGTGTGGAGTTGTTAGCGGAGGACCGCACCCTGACATCTTTTGAATATGATAACACTAAAACATGTACGAGTTAAGCCCTGACGATATATAATCAAAAGTTCCAAAGCGATGACATTACATTTGATATGGTACTGGCTATTCGCAGCTTCAATTTCATGCAATTCGGTTCATAAATGGCCAAGATGAGAAAAATTATCAAAGTTCTCGTGTATAAGGGACTCCAGTGCTTTTTTTTGTGGCAGACCAGTATTCCATTAACCAGCCATTGTCAATACCTACCTCCGACGTTCCGTTCACTCCCAATTCGCGTTCGAAATTTTTACAAATAAATTTGAAAAATGCAAAAAATGAATTTCATTAGATGCACCGTTTCCCCTGCCATCAATGTATTATTAGTTTTTGTTTCATTCCTTTTCTTTATCTTGTTTTTCCCGTTTGCCTCCCTCTATTTCTTCTAGTTCTGAATTGTTTATTTCGAGTGCTTATGGAGCTTCTTCAATTTTTTTTTGTTTACTGTATCGGAAAGGGTTTGTCTGGGAATGTTAAACTGTTTACAAGACTGGTCATTCCTCCTTCAATGGCTGCAAGAGCTTGCTTCACACTTTCTTCAGCATATTTCGAGTCATATTATTTCTTGGTTTATTTCTCCTACAAAGAATTATAAATAAAATGAAATTAAAAATTTGTTCAATTCAAAAACATCGCTCAGAATGTAAGGAAAAATACAATCACGAAATTACCACATTTAAACAGAAATACAATTACCAATTTTTTTACTATTTTTGTTGACAGCTATAAATGTGACATAAATAAACTAGCCTAACTTTGATTTAACGCTGTAGGTAATTTTGGGGGACCTTTTTTATTGCAAAAATACAATAAAAACAATTAAATAGAGCTAAAAACATAAAAGTTAAACTGCATCGAATACAGTAGATGTATATGGAAGTTATTAATATTTTATTGATTTCGTATCGTTTTCCCCTCGGGCGCCAATTTTAATAATTGATATAACACATTTTAAAAAAAATTGGACGAAACAAATATGCTATTAGCGTCCGGTTCAACCTTCGTCCAATTTGACGTTAGTAACCATTAAATTAACATGGAGTGATAAGGGGCATTATCAATTATTATGAATGTCCTAAATTACATAGCAACCGCTCATTTTGTTTTAATAAAGCACGATTCGTTCAATCAGGATTTTGGTAACTCTTGAGCTTTCATTTTTTGTTTAGATGAATTCATGTAGGCATGCTCGATGTTAAAATCCCAGAACCAATTGCGTGTAAATGTTCGTACATGATTTCGAATTGGACAATTGAATGAAGCAGCAATTTTCTTGGATCTTGAATGTTTACAACTCATAATTATTATTTGAACGGTTATACCAACGGGCTGTCTGTGCAATCCGTAAGTTTTAAAATCGCATTCAATGGTAATACATATGTAATGCGTAATTTAGCACGAATCAAATTGTAAATAACTCATTTTGATCGTGAATTAATTCAAAATCCAAAAAGGAATTGATGAGATACTTTGATCGTGAATTAATTCAAAATCCAAAAAGGAATTGATGAGATACAATTCATACAAATCTTTTTGATTGTATACAGGGCAATATAAAAACACGTGGACCTTAATTATATTTGGGTATATAGTATACGAGTAGTTGATCGTTCCTTTTTGGGAAATTCCTGATCGGTAAGTAACTTATTGGGTTGGCAGGTTGATTTTCATCCCAACCTGCAAATTTACGGTACAAGGGCGGATTTCCGTTTACGGCAAATTGCTGTTCGAGTGGTATTTACAATGAGACATCGTAAAAAGTACGTAATAATGAATTACTTTTATGGTACAGGGCGAATGAAAAGAGAGTACTCGGGAATGAGTCCTTTTTCTGGATACGAATTGAACGGATTATATTGTGAGTTCAATAAATGAGCGAGTATTGGATGAGGTTGGAGATGGGGTCATTAAAAAAACTGTTCGTGAATAGATTTCTTCCGGCGTGTGAATGAAAACAAATGAATGATGAATGATTTGCATTTTTTAAACCTGATATGATATATCTTCTTCAAAAGATGAATTACACCTGATGGGCGTCCAAATATTGTTATGGCAATCCCATGCACTGGTAATAGACTGCAGGTTCACTTTTATAAAAAACAGCGGTTTGAAAAGTTCTAGGGGCATTTCTAAGACTTGGCAAAATGCGCGTTTTTCTACTAATTTGGACCTGATGAACACGAATATCGATGTTTTTAAAATCTGAACCGAAAACTCAGAATCTAACA